TTGTTTTGTATGGACCTTTCTGGAAAGCAAGGAACATAAGTGGTAAAGACACTTTTCGGATTGAAACCATTTTTCCAAGCAGTCGTGCATCTTGTTCGGAAGACCATCGATGCGATCATCTTCGGCTCTCGGGGGGTCATGGAAGAGCTCTCTTGGAACCCTGTGTCCGGACCTTGGAAAAACCTTTTGGACACTGACACTAGAGCTCATAATGAATGAACACCCAGAAGTCAAATTGCAGGTCCTCGGCTGCCGGTCTTTAGATCAGATCTATTGGTCGGAGGCGCACATGGACTTGGGGGTTTCTGTCTCTATTTTTGCTGTCATGGAGGTATATCTTTGGAGTGGACCCGATTAGCTATGGCCATGTCATCTGAGCACGAGGAGACTCAGGACGCTTTCTTTCCCTGACCCCCACTAACAGGGACCCGAGCCGTTCTCCTTTCCAACAGGATTTCCAGCGAACACCACCTCGGCTGCGAAGGTCGAAGGCCGGCAAACTGATTCAGTTCAATGTTGGAGGCACCTTTGGAATACAAGTTTGTTTGGAAATTTGTGGAAGTCTCGACAGCCCTGGAGGCTGCTACAATCTTTTCTCCAAAAACACTGGAGCGCTTAGAGATCTCAGAGATCATGAGTGAGATCCATCCGTCGAACCGAGTGGGGAGCCGAGCTCAAGGGACATGAACCATTATGAACCTCAACAAAATGGAGTTGGCGCGCTCACATCTCCAAACCCCTATCATTTTTCTGTTGAGGTCAAACGTTCTCGTGCTTCGTACGAGGCGGGAGTGAACCGCGCGAGAAATTCTTGAATTTTGCTTGTCAAAGTTCTCTTGTGGAAACCGGAAGAATGGAATTCAGGACGAGACACCCGAACCAGAAGACACCCATCGCGGATTGGTGGGACATGATCCTGATGTGATGTTGAATATGTGGGTGGGGTCCTCATTTCACAGGAAGTGGAGTTTGTTTTCCGATATGGACATCCCTTTTCACCACCATTGAGGTCAACCAGATTGATCGAGACGCACATGCAACAACTGTCTTGCGGACTGTGTGCTCCTCAGATGAAAAACTCTGGGAGCAGGAACGCGTGCATGTTAAGATATGTTAAGATATAAAGCTTTTTGGTAGGAAGACTTCAACGATTGTTGAGACATACCTGGCTCTTGACCCGTTCCTCCCAGCCCACCGAGAAGCATTCCCCGATTGAGGTGATGGCTTGGATGGAGAGGACTATGACCCAGGGCAAGCCTCGTGCCACGATCTTGCGTGTTGCCAGGGTGCTGGGAGAGGCCGTCTCTAATATGGCTGATGATGATTTCAGCTTCAGGTTTCTGGAGGATTTGAACCTTCCACTTGAAACCTCGGAAGATGTAGACGCCCAGCTAGCTGTCTTTTGACAGGAGAGAGCTAACTTTGTTTAGGGGTTAGAGGCTGGAGCAATGCAGGGATGTTGCGCGCATTGACACCTGCCCAAAAAAGCATTCACCTGGAGCCACGCGTGAACGTGTCAGTGGCATGTTCCTCCTTGGAATAAGAGTTTTGCACATCATATACTAAGTGTAGTGTGCAACGCAGCCATTTCATCTTTGGGGCAACGATTCTATCCGAGCTATCGGAGCACGATGCCATTTTCCGATGTGGAAGGATTGAGTGAGCCGAAAACCCAGCTAGTAAACTGTTAAAGAATCTTGAAATTGTTTTCTTCATCGTTGCAAATTTGCCTAAATCTTGGCGCCGAGTTCGGAGATGGGAGAACCAGATGTTGACCATGGTGACCTTGGAAAGGCGCAGGAGCAACGCCTTTTTTAGAGCGCTTGGGGCAGGAAACAAACAAGGTTGATTGGACTATCTTTTCCATGTTTTTCTGCAAATCCTTATTCTTTTAGCAAACCTGGAGGATAGATGCCCCAAATTTGGATGCTTAATCAAGAGAGCCCTCGGTGTCACTCCATACACCCCGCGGTCCTGGCCATTGGATCGACGCCAGCCACTCAACATCGTCCTGGTGCCTCAGAGTGCATTGCGCAGTTGATGCACTGCGGGCTTCTCTGCAGACTTGGAAGGAACAAATTTTCATGGTTGTGAGGTGGCACCACCCAAGCCGGGCAAGAATGTGAAGGTCCCCAAACGGGGAAAGCTTGTGGAGCCCAAGACGACGGTCACGTTGACCGGATTCGGGACGATCCGTCTTTGCCTCATCCTCGCTATTATAGTAATATATAGTAATTATGGTGAACTGTGACATCATTATGGAATATATTGGAGGGAACAGAAAAAAACCTTTGACTGGCCCGGCCCAGGCTGTTTTGGGGCCACGACGGTCGCCTGCCACAAGTATTTATCGGTCAGAGGATCTCGTGACGGGGCCTTAGACAGTTTCTAGCATTATCTTATTCTCCATGTACAGGTGGAACATGGTGGAACACTAGGATTGAACTTAATTCAATGAATGGACCTAGTTCCACCGTTTGATACCTAAGGATTTTGCAACTCAGATATTTTGGTGGAGAGACTATCGGCTGAAGTGCGCTGAAGACAACAAACCGTTGGGCAAGTACGTGTCTCCCATGTTGGCAGAGCATATGTCCGGCCGACACCTCAACAATTTTTCAAGTTTCTGGATTGTATCACTCATTGCTGCTTTTCTTGTGGGTACGTTGAGGCATACCAACTGGGTGGTCAAATCCCAATCCTGGGTCTGTGGAATGCTCCGCTATCCCGCCTTGGATGCAAAGAAGCCATGAGGCCAGATCCTGGATTCCAAGCCGGGTAACACCCGATACTTTTGGAAAAAACAACACAGATTAAAGTGACCCCTTCTATTCGCACCAGCAGGCGTCCAACGGCAAGTACAGGGTGGCGTCGCTTTTTTCGGGCATACTTGGCCTTGAGCTGGGGTTATCCGAGTCAGGTGCTCAGGGGTTCTTGGGGCCTAGTTGCTTCAATTTGTGTTGCAACAAAGGGTTGTCGCACATACTGATCATGATGTTCTGCATCAATTGGCCAAAGGTTTAACGGGTTGAAGCGGTACTTCATGTCATTGCCTCAGGTTCCTGGAGCCTCTGTGCTTTGTCCGGGGCCCAAAGGCATTCAATCGGTCTGCGTGCGGTTTGCGAAACTTGTTGGGTGAGGTGGAGAAGTCCCTCTACTGCCGGCAAACCATACAAGCTAGAATCGCTGATGGTTTCTACAGCAAGACAGCTCAGCTCTATGAAGACGTGACTACTTTCAGCTGCACTGAGCTTGAGAAAGATGGTGTGATTGTAGACGGCATATGCGCAGGGTTCCCATGTCAGGCCAGTACATTCACAATGGTGCATGGTTGAAGTGTAACTGCTAGGGAAACACCGTTGCTTTTTGCGCGTGTGTCAGGGATGCAGTCGGGCGGGAAACCGCGCGGGCCTTGCGGACCCACGCACAGCTCTTTTGTCGGAAACATTCCGCGTCTTCGACACTTGCCAGTCTCCGTTCCTAGGTTTGCAACCAACGCTTACTAGGGATTGTTGGAGCTTTGCCTGAATGAACACCATGTATAAGGAAGTTTATGGTTCTCGAAAACGTGAGCAACATCCTCTCGAGCGACATGAAGCCCGTTATGGATTCCTTGCTGAAGGCCATTGAAAGCAACTTCAACGTATCTAAAAAACGACCGTCTTTCTAAATCAGCCACAATCGACAAACAATCGAACCGCGCAGAATTGTCAAGACCGAGCACTGAACATCAAATGGGCTACCACAACTGGCTATATGACCGGCGCACCAGCTACAACCTCAGCCTGGTATTTTTGTTTTAGTGCAATCTATTCCTCAGTTTGGGGTGATCAGGTCTGGCGAGAGAGGACATACTTCTTGCTGACCCGACAGGGATTCGGGTCATGAGCAAACGCTCATGAATGCATATGAACTGAAGCAGTTGCCTCACAGGCCCTGGCACCCAGAATCAAAGCCCGTCCTCTCCACATGGCTGGCGGGTGCCCAAAGCGCCTCCGACAGAGATAGGTTGACGGCGGTAGGAAATATTGTGATGCCTGACCAAGCCAGGCTGGCTTTTAATTTGATGGCCTCCTAATTGGAGGAATTAGCATCCTAACAATTGCAGTCATGTTGGACTTCAACAAGTTTTTTTTGCAATCGAGTGCATTCAAACCCGGTTGAACAAAGAACCCTCTTGCAAACAATTCGCTCGACGCATAGAGCCCGTTGCAACTCGCAGCGAAAGGTGCTGAACCGCTTCACCTAGTATTGGTGGCCTTGAAACAAACCTTGCTTCGCTAATTTAGCTTTGCGAATGACACACGTGCCATCAAGTCAATGCCTTTGCGCTGTTAGTTTGCAGCTTTTTCGGGGCGGTTCATCTGTGGTCTTTGGGGCCGTTGGGCGTGCTGCTGACATGATTGTGCGCTCTTATATATATATATATCGTTGCGTGTGGGATGAACTCACTGTCCTCACTGAAGAGCATTGTTTTCGGGAAAGGGGTGAAAAAACCTTTCACAAGGTATCCGTTATGTTCTTTCCACACTTTCAATGTGAAAGTCAAAGAAAGCAATGGCCTCCGATCTGACCCACCCAGAAGAAGAATGGCAGGTCGACGTTCCACGGCCTGGGCGGAGCGAGCGGTGGAGCCGGCAAGGTTGCTTGAGTGTGAAGAGCTCTTGGATTGCCCAACTATCTGGCAAGCATATGGCTTGTTGTACAACAGCAGTATTCTTGTTCAAAGAATATTATCAGCACAGTCAGTGTTTAGCTTTACCATACGTACGGGATTCTGCAATAAAGCTATCTCTTTGTCTCATGTAGACTCTTTCATGTTGAATTATACCGACAATCTTGAACTTCGCATCTTCTGAAGCCATGGCGTGAAAGTTCCGATTGCATTTTGCAGCGCTCTTACCCTTTTGACCAGCTTCAGTTTTTAACATAATAAGTGTCCTACAGTGTTCACAAATGTTTCGATAATATTTTCCTGCGCCTCAAACATCGCCGCTGAGGCTGGAACACAGCTGAAAGGTTTGATCCCTGAAGGCGGTGGTGGGGAGTTGGTGTGCGCAACTATTGGACACCCAGGAATTGCAACCACTTATTTTCTGGCATTAGCTTTCGCGTCAGGACCTTCCCAATGGCCACGTGGGGCCAGGTGGTTGCCTTAAGTGATGATGAGCCCGTTGTGAAAGAAGAAAACAAACGCAAGCTAGGGCCTCGAACACAACCATCGAAGGGTGGTCGAAAAAAAACGGTTGTCTTTGCTTGCAGCGCAACATGCAAAGTTCAGTGTCAAGTCTTTGCGCTACAAGCTGGAATCCACCTGTGGGTGTAAATGTGACTGCTTTCGGCCATTCAGAAAGACGACCTTGTTTGACCGGCTAGTTCACTTGAGAGAGAAGCTGGCATCCCTTCCCAAGCTGCAGAGCGATGAATTTGTCCGGGTCTCATTTACCGCTATGTTCATCAAACCAACAAACCAGTGGGGGGTGAATGGTTTCTGTTTTCAACCACTTAAGGTCTTCAACCTACTACGGGATCAGGAGGAAGAGTCTTATCGAGGCTCGCGCCATCTCCGGTTGCTCCAAGAACCCATTTGTAACCGTGGGTTTCTTCGGGCACTTGGCCTTGGGAAACTGCGGTTTCATCGGCTGCATCAAGCAGCTCGGAATCGGGCACTTTTGGATTGCCCGGCAGATGCTCGGTTTGTTCCGAAGGGAAGAGAGGGAACCGAGAAGCAAGCCATCATCGTTGAGTTTTTGGAAGGGTTGTACAAAAGCGCTGCTGAAAGTTTACCGGATTGCCCGTCCAAGAGCACCAGTAACAAGAGGCCGAGACAGGCACCGCATGAGCGGGATGACCCCAAGCTCGATCGGTCGTCCATTAGGCATTTGCCTCCGGGGAGCATTGTTGATTACCTCCGCTTGCTACGCGCAGACTATCCTCACCTGAAGTTGTCACAGAAATTATTCAGCAAAGTTTGGGGCGAGCATTTTTCTCACAAGCTGAGGATCCGAGGATCCGCCCATCACAGCAAGTGTTCAACTTGCATCAGACATAGACTCATTATTAGAAGAGTTGGCACTGGACCTGGAAGAGCAGCTCAGCTGCGAGAACTGCAGAAGCATCTTAAACTGCAGTATGCGGACCGGGCCACCTATTGGGCTGACAGGAGCAGGAGTCGGCTGGCTGCAGGATCCCCTAGCTGCTCAGAGGTTACTGCGATCTTGGACTCGTTCGACCAAGCGAAACACGCTTTTCCTCGCTCAGAGGCCATGTCCGCAAAGGACTTCAACTCATGGGCAAGACCAAAAATGTCTGCGACCACTCTGATCCTTCACGGCCATGGTGTTGTACACGCGTTGTCACCACCTCACATTCCAGGGAATAGCAGCAGAACGATCGAGATCCTGTCTGCCGGCATGACAAGATGTGTGCAGAATGGCGTTGACTGGCGCCATTGCGCGCTACACCTGCAAAGTGACAACTGCGCAAAGGAGTGCAAAAACCAGTCGGTTTTGCGCTTCCTAGCCACCATGGTAGCAACACATCGGCTCAGATCTGCCCGCTTATCATGTCTGATGAGCGGACACTCACACGAAGACGTGGATGGGCTTTTCAGTGTCATGTCCACTTTCATCAGCGGCCACAAAGAACTGTGGACGATGGACAGCTTCCTGAACTGCTATCGGAAGTTCTTTTCTTCGGCCGATGTCAGACCACACGAGAAACGCTTCAGGGATGTCAATATCCTCACATCCTTTCACGATTGGACCTTTGGCTCTCACAGATGTTTTGATTTGTTGCACATGTCGGGCACTAATTCCGTTGTGAAACCAATTCTTCCTCGCACATAAGGCGAGGACATTTGGAGAAGTATTTGAGCGCCGCCCATCTGAAGGGCATTGGAGGCCCCGGTGCCCCCCATGTCTTTGATTTCAGCAGAATATCAGACTTGGGTTAGACTTGGGTTCCTAGCTGCATGAGATGTCTACCCCTTGAGTGCTCGCTGTGTGTTCGTGTAAGTGCTGACACTGCGGAAGTATGAGCATCGAGTGCCTCCCATATAAGGATTGGAACATCACCAGCTTGTGAGCCGTTTCTGGCGTCGCCGCCGGGCGCCACAGAGTTCATCCGATGTGGTATTGAGGAGGGTTTTCAAATATCCGAAAGAATTCAACCGAATTGAAGAACACTTGCTTTTGCACGCTGCCTTCAACAAACACTCCGTTGGTATTGCCACAGGACAAAAAAGAATATGAGCGATGCAAACTATTCTGCAAAGAAGTTTTTGTACTTGCCAGCATCAGTCGCCTCAACCTTGATGCAAGTTGGCCCACCGCCAGGCAAGGAGAACCGTGGGTGACTCTGGTTAGTTCTTCTTACTCAATGTTGACTTCAGTGTTGTAGGAAACAGGCGCTAGATGTGTGTCCCGGCCCCTGCAGTCTATCTCCTCGACCCCACGGACCCAGAGTCCGATGAGAACAGGAATCTAAGACGGTATGCCAATCTCCTACGTGCGCTCCTAAGTATTCCCTACAAGACAAGTTAAACCCGGACCACTGCCTCAACCTTCAGGTCAGGCGCCTTACTCGATGGAGTCGGCTGCAAACCAGATCGATGACCTGTCTCGGGGCACATTGCCAAACTATCCCATGTTGGATGTATCAGCGTGAGACTCCTAGAAAGTATGTGAACTTTTCGATGTGATCCCACCCCTGTCTTCCGCTTCCCAGGACTCTGCCCAGTGCTGGGCCTGCCGTTGGACCAGGACACAATGGCCAGGTCGTGCATGGTCAGAACCTAGAAGCGGCGCCACGGCTTTCAAAGTGGGACGCAACATTTTATGCAGAAGGTTTTCCGAGTCGTTGCGGAAAAAAAGAATGGAGCCAATTGTATGCTAGTGGACCTCACTTGTTGGTGAGGGATATCAACATCTCTTGGATTTTCTCAGGCGCCAAATGAGCTGAACATTGTGGCTGAGCGGGCTCAGAGGGGCGATCGAGAACGATACAATCGTGCAAGGCATCTACAAATTCTTTATGAAGCCGCCGCACGTTTGTGGATTCATGGGGTGAACATGCCATCAGCTATTTCGATTGTAGACAAAGCCATGCAAGATGCTGGGGAAGTGTGACTGCGACCATGGTCCCGCAACACGCACCCAAACATTCTGTCATAGTTATTCTGCTTTCATGGTTTCGGTCACAGGGGTAAGACGGGGGGGGGCTCTCGGCCATACTTGTTTGATCAACAGCCCTTTCATGTCACATGCTTCCAGTTCTAATTTATCCATATGCCAAAAAATCCTAGCGAACAATCAGTTTGTGCAGAGAGAGCTCCGCTCAGAACAAGGCTGAACAAATAAGTCTTGTTGGGACACTGCATCCTAGCTGTGATATCCACCCACACCAGGGCTAGGGCAAACGCCTGGCCACAAGATGCCGTGAAGGTGAAAAGGCACCTCCAGCAGATTTGTGGGGCAAGCGGCGCCCGGTTGGCGCACGGAAACCAGCCAAACGGGTACCAGTTTGTGCAGGGGAACTGACATCAAAAAGGTTATCTTGTGACGGGGGGGCATTTGTGCTTGCGGAGGTTGGCCTGCGGCACAAACTCCGTGCCTCCCAAAGAATATCTAAGGTTAAAACATAAAACAATTATTGGAAACCCAAAACTTGATGGGTGGGTAGCGTTTTGTGCTTAGCGGGAATGGCATGCGGCACTAACAGGGTTGGTCCCCAGGTAATTCATTTTGTGTGCTCACTGGGGGAATCTGGAAGATAGTATATATGGTTTTGTGTGGTTTGCCAACCACATCCGGCACTAACACATCTCTATGTCAACCACGTCCGGCAGAACAAGGGTTCCATGTCAATCGCATCCGGCACAAACCAAGTGGTGGAGAATGGAATCCGGCACAAACCCGCGTGTGGAGGATTGGACCCGGCACAAACTCTCATTGTGGAGGATCGGAGCCGGCACAAAACCATTTGACCGCTACCAAAGTTGTGCATGCAACAGGCACTAACATAGCATTGGTGTTGAGTTTGGAATTGCCTTCATATATTGTGGCGCTCAGGGATGCTAGCTTGACCAACCACGGGCCACTGGACATGTACCTAACCAACTTTCTGTCTGAGAAGGACATGTGGTTTTTCCTTACTTCTGAAGTTGTTTCCCGTTTCGTGTTCGCAATCGTTCATTCCTCGCTGGAGAGTCTTCGTGGGAGGAGGAGGCCATCAAGTTCTACCAATACCTTGAATGTGAATTTCCCGCGATGCCGGGTGTGTCGGGTTCTCAAATGCCGGAACTGCTCCAGCTATAATAACCCATGAGATGCATTCGATAACATTCTTTCACCGGGGTCTCGGGGGGCATCGAACTCAGGACATATGCTACTCACGATGCATTTGCAGCGCCGGGAGCTTTCTTCCTGAGGCCTTTCATGTTGGCCCACCGGGTCGACTACGGCTTGAGGGGGACAGCGGATGGAGAACTTCGATTGATTGATTTTTTCACACATGTTCAGTTCGGAAGTGCGAGTGAGCAACGCAACTCACTATTATTCTTTTCAACCGAGGAGGTGTTGAAGTTGCTCGCTCAACTGATGGCTTTGAAGGGAATGGAAACGAACCCCGACAAACCGGGATGCGAGAAGCTGGTTATCTCGCCGGTCCAGCGCGCCTGGCTGAAATCCGATCCGCTTGGCATTACCTCCACGGAGCTGGGTTTCGACCCTGCGGTCTTGTCGCCCCAACAGGCCTTCACAGTTAAGGGATGGAACCGGTCCGTGAGCTGTCTCCTTTGTTTGCTGGCCACGTACCAGTCAGAGGATCTCCGAAAGGCCGGGCAACTCATCCGTTTTGTAAGCTGGTGCTTTTATCGTGCGGTGTTGCTGTTAAGCTCGTGGAGGCGATGCCTGATGAGGTGAAATCGAGCCTTTCCTTGGTTTGGACATGTTCACCTAGTAGCCGACTCTGCAGCGCGTTGCTTCACAAATATTAACTACACCGAGAGTCAACTTAGGACATGTGGGACCATATGGGCAACCAGCATCCATGGCGACATTGGCAAGCTAGTGGAAACCAACCGTGGTGGGACCCCTATATGAATGCTTTGAATCAACATGTTGCAGTTTGCGTTGTCAAAAATCACTGGTGTCTTCGTTTCTGAGGGGTCACTTTGACCAGCAGTGCGATAAGACGGAAGCCGAACGCGTTCAACCTGGTATTTCAAATGGAGACACTAGTCCGCTCGGGTGTTTCTGGTGAAGCAACAGCCACACAGCTGAAGGACTAGTTCTTTGGTCCAATTATTTCAGACCCGTTCAAAAACTGCGCCGTCCCCCACTTGAACCGTCTGATGAACGCCTCGTCCAGGAGATGGAATCATATTCCAATGTGGCTGCCTGCTATCAGGTGGGCCGCTATGAGGCTCAGGCAGCGTGCAACTTGTTGCTCAAGGTCGACTTGGATGTCCGGAATGAGCTGGAGCGATTGGTAAGGACAAAACTATTTTGTCGGGTCCAAAACGGGTGTGGTTTTCATGGCCGTATGTGGCCCTGGTTGTTGAACCGGCAACCGGCAGGATTCACACAATGAATCGGTTTCTCAACCATGATGGGTTGGCTGCTGGCATCTTTAACCGAGAGTACCAGGGGGCGACAGGTCAAATGACTGGATGGGACCGGCAACTGGCAAACCACCCAGAGCTGCTATCACTCATGCTGAATCGTATGCAGACCGGCTATGAGAACTTGGCTCCCAAAATGAGGAAGCCATGGAATCAAGCTGCGCTAGAAGCTTTTCTTAAAGAAATCATCCTTGAAAAAAAGACTTGCTAGCAACCACAGGTGAAAATCCAACACATTCTGCGGGGCCTTGCCTCAGCCTCAGGAACATCTGCAAAGGCTTTGCGGTGGCTACTTGGCAGCCTTGTCGCGTTTCAGTGAGCACGTCCCGGCCAAGCACTTGGCAGAGGTGCAGGATGAGATTCTCAAAGCGTGCCTCTTCAAAAGAATGGGTCAACAAGTTGTTATCAATTACCAGGGATTGCCATGTTTTATACCAATGCCAAACAAACTGTGTGTTTTGTTAATCTTCCACTTGCTAGGTTTCTTCTTCGGCACGCAGACGCCGATCTCATGAACATGCTGACAACGTCAGTTCCACCAGCCGACCTTGGCATGATCCAAGTATTCAAGTCCCAGCTTGCCAAATGGACTCAGAAGGCGGGGTGCCATTCGTGGGTGAGCCTCAAAACAATCGGGCCTAGCAAGTCTTTCGATTTTCTCTGTGCGTTGAATCGTGCACCCCCCGCGCATAGGAAGAAGATGCAAAAGTGAATCGTGCGGCAGAGTTTCCTGGCTTGGTCGTTTGATTTGGTAGTTTTGGGGGGATCCCTGAAAGACCCTTAACACTGAACGAGGCTTTCAGCACAGCTGAAGCAAACCACCTTTCAGCAGACCCAGCTGAAGATGGATTCCGATGAGTCAACTTTGATGGCTTGGGCAGATCAGTTTCAGATGTTTGCCAGCCAACAGGCTTGTTGGGGGTTCGTCAAAGATGTATATTTTTCAAAGGAAATTATGTTCCATGGAGACACGTTCCCACAAATCCCTTGGTTTTGGCGTCGTGTCAACACCCATCAGGGAGGACTAGACCTGCGATATTTGGAAGACCGCTACCATAAGGGCAAAAAGCGGGTTCAAGAACTGATGAGTGCCCAGCATGCCTTGCAAGCTTATCCGTCGCTGGTCCTGGCACACGCCGACATCGTGCAGAAGCAAGCCAGTCTTGGCAATTCGACGTTTCTAGCCTGGAGCAACTATAAGTATTGATGTTTTCTTTGTCATATTTTGTTGGATCGTGGGAAGTATGGTTCCGGTCCGCATCTACAACCCAGGGTGACGCTCATGATCGTGGATTGCACGCTGTGGCCCAACCGTGCCCTGTTTGCGACAACAAGTAAGTGCACCCTATGTCTATGTCAGGTTGTATTTCTGTTCACTCGGCAGTGAGAGTTACCCTCCGTTTCTGCAAGCTCCCCACCTGAGGCGTTCTTTCTGTAGATGAGGCGGTGAGCCTATGCCAGGCTGTGGCAAACGGCAACCCGGGCACGTGCTGCTTCTTCCTTCTCCCACAATATCATTCGAGCACGAATCAGACAGCAGTGCTTAAAAACCGTCGACTCTTACAGGACAAGATCGTTGCGAACCTCTGATTTTCTTGGTCAACTTTGTCATGTAAATTTTGTACCCGGCAAAGCCCCATAGGAAACCCTCTCCAAAAAGAACAAGAAACTATGCAAGTTTAGCCCAATCTCAGGGCCTTCAATGTGCATGAAGTGGCGCTGAATTTCAACCATTCTGCCCACAATGGTGACAAGCGGAAGACTTCTCAACAGTGAGACTTGACTTTCAAGCCAACATATTTTTGGACATGTGTTTCCTGTCCAGGGTTGCCAGGAAATTCGTAAACATTCAGAAACCAATCCAGTCAGTTCAAAACAAATCCAACAAGTCAGGTTTGGCAGCCACTGGGGCCACTCATGATAAGAACACCGCCATCCCAGTGCTGAAGTCCCGTGCTTTGCTTGGATCCATCAACGACATTGATCGATCACGCGTGATGGACCTTCAGAACCCCGAGCCGGACAGACCATTGGCGGCGCATTTCCGTGTACCATGGTGCGTAAAGACAGACAAACGAAAACACCTGTAGATAAATATTCTAATAAATATATGTTCAAGCCATGTGGCCATCAATGCCTACAGCTATTATAGAAAACATCCAAGGTGCAGCAGAGGGGGATTCCTGCATGCCGTGGGATCATCGAAAAGTTGCTTGAGGGGTGCGTCGAAGCTGGAACGCCCGTCCTGATAATTGATGTTCTCCCGAACCGGCAGCTTGTCTTAGTGTCAATACCGGTGACCCTTTTCCTATCTTTTCCTCCAAGATTTAAGTTGGATCTAGTGCGAAGCTTCCCTGCGGTCGGCTCTGAGCAGCCGGGCAAGGTTTGCAGAATGGAGCGGAGCCACCTGGATCATGCAATTGGAGAAGCTTAAGGGTGAAGCGCGGGAGGCGCCAAACTTCCACTTCATGGGGATCTACCAAGCGGATGAGACAACCACCATGGTGTCGGCCCAGAACACCTTGACTGGACGTGCTATGTCCCAGTGGTGGGATTCGTGCGCAGATGCAGGTCCCGCAAAGCGACCCAACTGCACCTTCTCGGTTCCAATGCCAACTCTGGAAGTCTTCACGATTTCCGATGGCAAAGTCAAGATTCTTAGATGCATTCTTAGAGGTTTTCCAGCTGTCCTATTGTCCAATGAATTTACAATTTGTATCAATTTGTTGAGAACACACACAGATAAGGATCCCCGACCTGATTCTGAACAATCACAGTGGATCACACTTGGAGCAGCTCCAGAAGAAGGAATCAGAGCTGACAGCCGTATCGAAGCTTGCTGCTGCTTTGAAGGGGAATTGCGCCGGCGTATCGATCCCGGACCCATCCCCGGTGACATCCACAACACTGACACCGCGGCGCCCACCTCCCACAGATCCACCACGAACCGTAGCTTCGCCTGACTGGGATGGGTCACCACCGCCAAATGTGGAGAGGTCCGAAACTTTCACCAGTGTGCCGGTGGATGCTTTCAACAGTGGCTACACGACTCATGGAGCGTTTAAGCCTCCCCTTTTCTCTTTGTGGCCAGCAACCCAAAAGCATTCGAAGTGGGCGAGTGGATTGATTCATAACTATTTGTTTTAACTTATTTTGTGGACCTACTAGGATTGTATGCGCTGCAAAGCTTGCGCGGGCGCCGACTTTGGAGGTTGCCAGCACCAGCGACAAGTCATTTTGGCTGATAAACCGATCGGATACCAACACCCACCTTTCTGCGGGAGAGTTGTTTGGCTTCAACCTTGGCACCTTCGTTGAGACTGCGAGCGATGGCATTGAAGGCATTGTATTTGGAAACACTTCAAGAAGTAGTTGTCCAATGTCTAGTTTCAGCATTAACACAAACATGTGCATCACCCCCTGCGAAGGTCATACTCACATCCCATGGCACATCAAAACTGACAAGAAGATGGTTGCTCTTGTCACGGGAGCGGGCGATGCAGTCAAGAAAGAGATCATGACCGTCTCAGATGTCATGTGCTGGATCACCCGGTCAAAGGGTATGACCGAAGTGGCCTTGGCTGACCACGACATGACTCAGCTTGTGCAGGAGATGGGTTTCCAAAAAATTATGTGTCCACAAAACCTCCCAATTGACGCCATTGATTCTTTTGGGGATCCATTTCAACTGCCCTGCCCAGGAGCGTGATGGTGGTCTCAAGGTCCCCCTTCACTTCCGCTACTCCGTCATCCCCAAGGTGAAGGTCCATGCCTTCAAGCCGAAGGAGTTGTCGTGCGATGCGGATCTTCAGAGCCTGAGATCTTCAACCATGGGCGCATACTTTCATACCTGCTTGGATACTGTGCCATGCACCGATAACGTTTCGGTGATCTGGGAGGCTATGGGAACGGTGAAAAAACAAACGCTTTAAGAAGTTCAAAGCTGTTTCGAGGTTGTTCGGTCTAATTTGCAATATTTTGCAATGGTTTATTTAACTCCTATTATCGTGTCTTTGGTGGCGCAGGTCTCTGTGGGCGAGGAATGCCCTGCTATGGTGCATCCAACTAAGCCAAAGGCGTACTTGCTTTGCAGCACTATGGTCCCAGCTGGACACGCCGTGATGTTGAAGTAGATGCTTTTGAATGTTTTTCTCACGCTGAGAAAGTCTCAGCTATTGGTGGAGTATGGGTGCCCATAGGGTCAGTTAACACGGGATTTTGAACATAAATGAAAAATATAAATATTCACAGTGTTTCTCAAACAAATATGCGGGACCCGGTCTGACAGGGGCATGCCATACCTTTTGGGCTTTTGGTTGATCCAATGACTCTGAAAAGGGTTGAGTCACCAGTCGAAGCGTCGGCCGAACCGATCACATGTGGCAAAAAGATCTTCATGTTTGAGTGGTGCTCAATTAGTCGCAACTTTGAAAAGAGGAACCATTACAAGGTCGGAAAACACATGACTGCCAGTCCCTTCATTGCAAGGTTTCATGGTCCAAGACTTTAAGAATAAGAGATGTCCATTTTCGCTGAGGTAACAAACCTTTCGGATGAGTCACCGGCAAAGCCGGCGTTGCCCGAGAAAGGTCCCAATGCCCCGAAACCGTTGCCAAAGACGGTGCCTAAAGCGAGCCCAAAGAAGACGTTGCCCAAAGCGAAGCCTGGAGGGAAGGCTTCACCGAAGGTGAAGGGGAAAAAAAACAGAAACACAAGTCATGAAGCGTCCGAGCGGACGAGTTGGAGGGGGTGTCGATTCAGTTGATGGACTTGACGCACCAGAGGAAACCCCTACTTCTGGCCCCCTGAAGCGGCCCTCAGCTGCCACCGCTGAATCGCCCAAGAAGCGGCCGTCAGCCAACACCACTGCGGTGCCCGAGAAAAAGTCAGAGCTTCGAGTTTGCAAATACCGATACAAAGACACGGGCGTTTGGGGATTCAAGTTGAATGGCAAAGAGAAGATTCGGGTGATTTGGATGGCATGAAGATGTTGCTTGCAAATTGTTGCAATCAGCATTTTCCATGTACATTATTTAGAGCGCTTTCAACGGCAACCAAGTTGAAGCCTGACCCAAATCTAGAAGAGGCGGATTATGTGGCCATCACAGCCCCTTCATCGAATTCATGGTTGATGTCAAATGTCAAGTGTTTCAACACATATTGTTTGCAGTTCAACTACTTGTTGATCTCAGGATGCGATGAAACAGGAACTCCTCCGGACCGATGGTGATATCCAACGCGTTGGGATTCTTCGGGTGGCTAGGTGTTAAACAGTTTCGAGTTCACCCCGGTCTTGAACAAATATTGGTTTGATACCCTCATTTGTTGCTATCATTTGTTATCATCTGAGTTATCTGCGCGGGTTCCGTTGCCTCTTCCCCTTCTCAGGATGAAATGGTGCGTGCCGCCATTGCCAAGAACACTTATGAGGACACCACTGCCCGAGAGAACAACAACAACAACAACGATGAGGCTGCCAGTGACCCAATCACCGACCCCAAAGAGGAAGATGAAGAGGAAGCGCGCGAAGAGGACCAGGAGGCTTTTCGGGTGGATAGGTATTTCTCAAAGCAGCCACAGTTATGTTATAACACCTTCCCCAGATATGGTCCGTCCCATGCCCACAGGTGGAGGATATCGAGTGACTGAACTTGCTCGCTCGCCTGAAAGCTGCCATCGAGCTTTGCTCACCGTGCACCTGCCGAGTTCTGGGCCGAAAACATTTGCGAGTTGTGTTTTGAAGGCGTCATTGTTGGCAGTCTGTCATGTCTCATGTTACAACCGCCACGGATCGAATCTGGTCTCAGATCACTTTTGTTCAAACAACCCAAAGGGGGTTCAATGCAATGGACTCTCAATATGAAAAACTCATGGGTCTCTCAGCTGCGTTTTCATATCTATGTCAACGTATGTCAAATCCCATTGTTATAGTCATGGTCAATAAACTTAGGGCATCCAAGGCCTCCCATGGTGCTGTGGTAACCCTCCATTGGAGAAGTACATCTACACTGTGGAAACCCGGAATGAGACGCCGGCCCCTGAATGCACAGTTGATGAGTCTGAAGATGACCGCATTGCAGCGGTGCTGAAATGGATCCCCATGGCACCAGTTTTGGGCACACAAATTTGTGCCTACGAGCAGGTCGTTTATTATGTTTTGGAAGGCCCAGTGCTGAACAAAGATCCAGCCAAGTGGCAGGCAACCATTCGTGTTTTCAACGTTTGGGATCAAGTCGAACAGACTATTACTTTCAAGATCAAAGAGTGAGTCAGGGACATCGTAGCAAGAAAGAAAAAATCGCCGCATTGAACTATGCATTGAACTCTTCGTATCTCTTCATCCTGTGTTGCTCAGCCCAACTTCCACTGCAGGGGCCCACCCCCTATCGATACCACTGCCTCCAATGCAGCTCCGGAGGTGCTGAAAAAGAGGATCGAGCCACAATCCTGCAGACTGCAGAGGCGACGTGCGGGACTAGATCTGGCAGAATTGAATCAATTCCAAAAAATCAGTGACCAAAGAAATTGTTTGAAATAACCACAGCCACTGCCAACCCAGCTTTGGACAAAGTCAATTGCAATTTGCCTTGTGCAGGTGGCCTTCTTGAGATGAACCGGAGGAATTTGAGCGCATGGACAGGTCCCAAACTGAATCCATCTGAATCCACCAGACTCAAACAATTTTTTAAAAGCCAGCGCTCAAAAACGGTGGGAGAATATCTGTCATGCCGTGTGCAGGGTTTCACTCGGAAGGGCAAGTCGCCGAGGGATCTATGGGGGTCAACAACAGAAAATTAAAATGTCCGAGAAACAAACCATGTTTCATAGAAACCCTTGAGATCCCTTGGCCCGCTAGCCGTGCACTGCACAGCCAAACCCGCTGCTAAGTCGTGAGCCTTCCCACCAAATAGCCCCAATCGTCCTTCCAAGAAAAAGGTAGCCGCCCATTCAAAGACCTCACAGGGTGATACAGGGTGGGTTGCAAGAGGCATGCATTGGCACCAAGTCACATGGAACCAATTTGTTTTTACCCATTTTACCCTTTCCAAGTGAAATTGCACTTGACTCTCGCGATTGGGGCCCCTGGCCAAACAGCGCGTGCGACCGCGGGCGGGCCGGGCGAGGCGCGGCGAGGGATGAGGAAAATTACGGGTGTATGATGTTTGCCGATACCCGGACCTAACTCAACCAAAATGAAATGAACACTTTAAGGCAAGCATAGTAGCTATGTTTTTTGCGCGCGATATGTGGGATCTTGGTGACATGGATTTAGCCATTGCGGAGTATTTTGCTACATAAAAGCAAAGCCCTAGATACACAGCAAACCCCTGGATAGCAGGAATGGCCCATAATACTGAAAAATACAAAGAATAAACAAAAAGCATCATGAGAACAAGAAAAATAAAATACAAGAAAAAACGAAACATGACAAAAATGTGGAGAAATATTGCGAGGAATTCACAGTATAGAGAAG